GGAAGCAACTCTTCCTCTAACAACCCCTTCCTTCTTAACAATACGAAGACAACTCTATACAATACGTAGTAGGCGCCCTCCCCTTTTCTACTAACTATAACTAAGTCGATTAAACATACCTCTATCGATTGGCGCTAACAAAAGTGTCTAATACGATAGCGACGACTAATTAGGCTAGCAGGTTCAACCTTACTTCCTAATACGTTATTGTCGCCTATATTATTACTTCGAACGTTACTTCTACTAACTAATAACAAGTCTACGGCGATTGTATTAGTGCTAGTAATAATGGTGCAGTAGTCTTAGCTAAGGGTGGCGTCCTTAGTTAAGTTACCTATCCTAATTCATTAAATCTGTTTAACTAATGTATACCTTACTTAATCCTTCCGTCTAATTAAATAGACGCTACCTATGCGATTGATCTGATAACCGATAGTAATAGTGTAAAGGGCTCAGTTCAATTCAATTAAACTAACTTTACTATACGATACGAGTACTTAGATAAGGCTTAATAGTATCGGTCTGTACTTAGACTACGTAGGAAGACAACAGTTCCTAGTAATAGGGACTATATGTAAAGGTGCATATACAGTCCGGATTATATAACGATATCCTTCTAGGGTAATCGGGGTATAAAATAAGACTCTCTTATATACGGTATAGATTTGAATCATTTTTTTGTTGTTTTAATAAAGCACTATATAAGAAGTCGAAAGGATTAATTTTTCTTTTGTTTGCATATAAAGAAGCATTAACTACCTTGCCTAAAAAATGGAAAGCAAGCCCCTTTTGTACAAGCTAAGGGGGTGTATAACGCGTTAGCTTAGTCATATAATAGCACGTAACGTCTTAGTAGGAGAAGGATTTTCACACTGTATTTTTTAGACTATAGAATAGGAGAAGATAGGCGATTAATCGAAGCTATATTGAACAGCTAGCAAGGCAGTATTACGTAAGTAATCCACTGCGCTGTGCGTAATATATAGTATATCTGTACTTAGCCACTACAAGCTACTATAGAAATAAACTCCCGCACAGACTATACAATACCCTTTATTACTAGTCTAATCCGCTTCTATCGGGGTTTTGGTACGCGTATATGGATAAAGCGACCCGAATTTTTTTTCGAGGAAAGAATACGCAATACCTAGACCGAAATTCGAAAATCCGCTATAGTAGCGACCTAGATAAATACTTTATATATACTAATTACTATTTTTTATTCCGTATACGATAGCCCCGGTTTAGGAAAATCGAATATAATCTAAAAACCAAATACGCTCGGCTATATAGAAGGCTACTCCGTACCGCGACGACAAGAATACGCACTATTTAGACCGTAATTCGAAAAGGTACTGCCGGGCGGGCCTAGATAATTATATTATCTAGGGCCTCTACTATATATTATATATTAATTTGTATTCCTCGACGAGTGCTTCTTTAAGAGGGGAAAATCTATATAAATAGCCAAATTGCGATAGAAACGGCCTAGATTAGAGATAGGATCTCTATTATCTAAACGCTAATTAGCTATACGCTATACCTTAGCTATATACTATGCCACTATGCTATATATATATACACACACATACTAAAATACTACACCCTTAAATAATCCTATCTCTAGTCTAGTCTCGAGATAGGGCCAGTTATCGTGCTACAGGATGTAGTGCGACTAAGGCACGAGCCGAGCTCCTGCATTCTATTACAATATCAGTCGTGATACATTCATTGCTCGCTGACCTGTGGTGCCGCCCGGCTGTTAGCGGCAAGTCTATCCGTAGCTAAATTGGAGGCAAACGCCGCTCACTCCGTAAGCAGTCTATACCTATCTGCAAAACTAGCCCTAGAACCAATACCTATCTACAAAATGCCTATAGATCGTGCAGGCAGTTATTTTACATAGTTATCTTGGTATCTACCCGATTCTAGGTTATTCTAACGGTGCTAGAGCGTTCTATAATTGTATATAGTAAGGGTGTTATTATATAGTAGCATAAAGTCGCTTTTAGGTCGGCTTTATAGCCTACCGAGTCGACCCTTTACCCCCTATTTATAAGACAACTATATATCGTATACATGTGATTTTTATATTATATAAAAGCCCGGAGTAAGTAGATTGAGACTGTATATCGTATATATCTATATAGTGTTGATATAGCTAGTATTTAGTAGATGCGTAGAAAGTCGGTATATACGGCTTTAGCGGGCGTAGCAGGTATAAATCTACCACTTTCTACTTCCTATACTAATACGAGAGATTAGCTCGTTCTAGTAGTGTATCTATATATTAAGAAGCATCAAATAACGTAGTTATAAGGCCTATCAATTATTATCTAATACTTCCGGCAGCTCCGTATCCTCCTCGAGTAATAGATCTAGTACCTAACCTAACCCTATCTCCCCTTCTATCTCGTATAGCTGCGACTAAGAGCTAAGACCTATAGACTATGTATACAACACCTCATTGTCGCTATTAGACTCTTCTTTAACAAGGTCTTCGGCCGTGCGTTGCCTCTATGTCTCCTTAGCAAGCAAGGCAAGGTCCTTTAGCCTTATTCTTAATAGAAATAAGGACCTATAGTGCTGCGAGTCTAATAAGTCTTCCTTATTAGACAGCGCTCGGTCGTCTACTTCTATACTAATTAGCGAGTCGTTGTTCTCGAAGAAGGACAACTACTAGCTATAGCGACAACTTCTATTAAAAGTAGCTTCTTCTATACCCTTGTCCTTTATAGATAACTAAGCCTAATTGCTATCTTCTAGCAATACTCGTTAGTCTAATGGCAACGTATCTACTAGTCTAAACCGAGCGGCCTTCTTCCGGCGTAGTAGCTTCGAAGGTATAGCAGTAGCGAAGTAAGGATATAGATTACTAATAGACTCGTTGCTACCTATTAAATTAGCCAATTTGAATACTTTCAATAGAGCCTTATCTTCTAAGTTGTTAGGCAAATAGCGGCTAGCACTAGCGCTATATTTGACTAGCCTTAACTCGCGCCTCTTAGGTTAGAAGACCTTCTTAATCGGACCTTGTTTACAACAACTAGTAAGCGGTCCGGTCTTATAGATACTACCTAGAAGCAACGGTGGAAATGGCTTAAGTAGTAACTATAAGGTACGCCTAAGAAGGGGCTTCTTCTTATCCTTATTGCGGCCTCTTCTAGTTACTATAGTACCGATTGTCTTCCGCTAGCGCTTATAATAGACCTTCTACTGCTTCCTTGTCTTCGCCGCCTTGCTATTAACTAACTTCTGAGCCTTCTTAATAGCTAACAACTCGCGGTAAGCTATCCGCGACTAGACCTTATAAGCATAGGCTATTCCAATCTTCTACTATTTGCCGGTATTAGCTTTCCGTGCCTTGCGTGCCTTAGCAGCTATCTCTATCTCTAAGAGGTCGTAAAGGGCTTGTACTCTAGTATTAGCATAGAATAGCACCGAAGACGTTACGCCTTCGAGAAGACCTTGTATTAGTAACGATAGCGGTCTATACCTGTTTAATCGCTCGTTGAGTGCATTAACCTATCGCTTTATAGTGCGGATAGTTAAGGCTAGATTAAATAGGCTTATATCTACTAGAGGCGGCAAATCTAGTAGGTGTAAGACCTCGAATAGCTTGCCTGTTTCGTAGGCCTCGTAGAGCCTGTCTAGGTCCTATACTAAGAGGTCCGCCTTCTCGTCAATTTTACGCTTTATATAGGCGACTATATACGTGCCGTACTCGTCTCGGAGGAAGTCGAGCGCTCGTTAAGCGCTTATAGGGGCAATTCTAGTCTTCCGGAAGGCCGAGCGAATATTGTCGCTTTTAAAAGTCTTCCGCCGGATAGTGTTAATAGCGTCTATAAACTGAGTTACCCTAAATTCGCCTATGCCGAGCCTAGTGTATTGTATCACTGCCTAGCGGTAGTAGTGCTTATAGACCTAGAATAAGACTATATCTAGTAGCTATAGGAAGTATAAGGTATATAGTAGAAGGGTGAAGATTAGAATGCGGTGTTTCCGAGCGAAGTTAATAAACTTAAAGAACTCGTAGCTTCTAAAGTTGTCTATTATTAGAAGCCGATATTAGCCTTTATTAGCAGGCCTTATTAACCTCTCGAAGTGCTTAATCTAGTAGAAGGCAAACTCGTCGTTTAAATAGCTACTATCTGTTATACTAACAAGATAGTATGCTAGCAACTTGTTAAACTAGTGTTTAAGAAGGACCTTGCCTTGTGCTAGTAGCATTGGCTTAATAAAGGCTCCGTAGGCATTTACTGCTTCTACCGAGGTTATATGCTTCCTATTAGTATTAGTTGCCGCCTATAACCGCCTCTTTAGATCTATTATAACCACCTATTCGGCGCCTCTAATGCTAATCCGGAAACCTGTCTTATCTATATTCTAGCAGTTCTTAAGGCTAATCTTATAGACCTATATTAACTCGTATAGCTTGTTAAACTACGAGCCGATAAACTAAGGGTCGTATACTTCCTTCCTTGCTAACTCGATAGGCTTCCTTTTAATCTCTTTAATATTATACTTCTTTATCTACCTCTTATGCTACTTACTACTTAATAGTGCTAGTATTTTACCTTCCGGAAGTAACCGCTTTAATATTAACTTAGCCGTAGCGCGAATAAGTAACGTTAGCAGCGATAGGTCTATTAATTCTCGAGATCTATAGTACTCGACAAGGGCGATAGATTAGGCTTCGGAGAGGCGAGAATGCGACGATTTACGGTCGGTACGGCTCGTATTGCTATTATATCGTCGATATAATCGATAATAGATATCGTTATAGTAGTATTCGTTACACTATCGTCGTAGGTTAACTAGGCGGTAGTATGTATATTCAAACTCGCGAATTGCCGCTATCTAAGCAGCTACTCGAGCATCTTTAGTAAGGTTTGTAGCCGTGGATTTATAGACGGCCTTCCGTACGTGTTTCTTCGACTTCCGCTTTCCTAATGGCATTGTAATAGTATTAAATAATTAAATAAAATAGTCTACATATGCTATTGCAGATAGGTGTTGGTTGCCAAGGCTATTTTGCAGATAGGTGTGGACCGCTTACAAAGTAAGCGGCGTGTGACTCCACCAAGCCGCGGATACCGCAATGCTACACACTGACAGCAGAATCAGAATCAGGAGCTGAAGTTGAAGGTTGACTGCGGCCTCAACGTCACTTCTTGGCGACGCGAGGCGCTTGCAGGGATCCACGATCCACGCTACCTGAGCCTACCTCCAGCGTCATGGCTCCTTCCCTCTGAGTGCATCTAATGCTGCACAACACCTCCATGTATTATCATCTCGCATAGCCCGGCGTCGCGGCAATGTTTTCTGGCTCTTCTTCCTACCTCGGCGGCGCCAACAGCGCCCGCCAACAACCTCAGTATGGCGCGCAGCAGGGTTTCCAGCAGCAACCGCAGTATGGCGCGCAGCAGCCGGCATTCGGCCAAGCGCCATTGCAGCAGCAGTATACTGGATATCCTGCTGGAGGATTGCAACCGCAAGCGACGGGCTTTCCGGGCCAGCAACAGCCTCAGCAGCAGTATGGACAGCAGCAACAGCAATACCCGGCTTTCCAACAGCCCCAGCTCACTGGCTTCCAGCAACCTCAGCAGCAGCAGCAGCAGGCACCACAACTCAATGTTCAGCAGCCTCAGCCGACGGGGTTCCAGCAACCACAGCAGACGGCATTCCAACAGCCAATGCAGGCGCAACCGACCGGCATGAACAGCAGTGATATGGCTAACTCCTTCCGCTCGCCAGCTCCACAGCCCGCGCCGTCAACACCCGCCAAGTCTGGAGGCAGCAAGATCCCTAATATTCGCTTAAGCTTCATCACGGCAGCAGACCAGGCAAAGTTTGAGCAGCTGTTCAAGAGCGCGACTAGCGGTGAGCAGGCGCTGAGCGGAGAGAAGGCAAAGGACTTGCTGTTGAGAAGTAAGCTGGATGGGAACAGCTTGGCGCAGGTATGGACACTGTCGGATACCACAAAATCAGGGCAGCTACTCTTCCCAGAGTTCGCACTGGCAATGTACCTCTGCAACCTGAAGTTGACTGGGAAAGCTTTGCCACCGTCTCTGCCTGAGAAAGTGCGCAATGAGGTGTCGAGCATGGTAGACATCATCTCATTTGCAGTTGAAGACAGCTCGTCCGCATCAGCGCCATCGTCCAATGCGCCCAACTTCAACGAGCCTCCCAAGATCCAGCAACCTCAAGCACAGAACCCGAGCAATACTCAGCTCTTGAGCACTCTCACCGCGCAGCCTACTGGAGCCTTTCAAGGACTCCTGCCTCAACCGACTGGCTTCCAGCAGCCACAGCAGACCTTCCAACAGCCAATGCAGACTGGGCTTCAGACTCAAGCCACCGGATTTCAACAAGCCCAAGGATATACTGGGCCTCGCCCACCGATGCCACCGATGCCTGCAGGATTTGGACCGAGCTCAGGACTGTCGCCGCAGCAGACCGGCTACCCGATGGCCGCCCCTCTTAATGCTCAGCCCACCGGTCGACCTGGTCAGTGGGGTCTGGTCAACGCGCCAGCTTCTGGGCTTCCAAATCTTCAAGCTATGCAGCAGCAGATGATGCCTCAACCTGGCAGAGAATCTGGCTTCACCACGCAAGGTCTTCGCGGTAACGCGACCGTGCCGTGGGCTGTCACCAAGGACGAAAAGAAGATCTACGACGAGATGTTCAAGGCCTGGGATGGTTTCGGTAAAGGCTACATCACAGGCAATCAGGCTATTGAGATCTTTGGTCAATCGGGTCTGGAGAAGCCTGACTTAGAACGCATCTGGACACTTTCCGATCCTCACAATAAGGGCCGCCTGAACCTGGACGAATTCGCTGTCGCGATGCACTTGATCTATCGAAAGCTGAATGGCTATCCGATCCCGAACCAGCTCCCACCTGAGCTCATCCCACCTTCAACGCGCAATATCAACAACAGCATAGATGCTATGAAAGGACTTCTGAGAGGCGAGGCCGATGAGCGCAAGTCGTCCGGTGCTTTCTTGCAGCCTCAGAGGACCGGCGTGAGCTACTTGAAGGGTCACTCGTTCAAGGCGAACGGTGCACCGGGCTCGCGAAAAGATGCGACAGTCTTCAAGAACAACGATGATGATGTCGGATACCGCTCCTCTGCCAGGCGTAGAGTTGGTGATCATGCTAGGTCTGGTTCGCCAGCACTCAGTGACACGAGCAGCGTTAATACCGCCGATGAGATGAGCATCGACCAGCTGAAGAAGACTATTCGCGAGAAGCAAGTGTTACTAGACGCTATGGATTTCGAGGATGAGGGTAAAGCAGACGAGGAGGATGCCTTGGATCGCAAGGACAGGAAAGAGGCAGAAGAGCTCTTCAGGCGGATCAGGCGGATACAAGAGGACATCGATGGTCATCCGAATAGTGCGTTCAAGACTGGTGACTCCGACGCCGAGAGGCGAGCGTTGCAAAGACAGCTGCGGACCATGCAAGATCGCCTACCCGAGCTGGCCAGCCACGTCAGACGCTGCGAGCGTGCGATCGCAGACGCTCAGCTGGAACTTTTCAGGCTGAAAGATGCCAAGGCCAACCCGTCATCTGCGCAAGCAATTGTTGGTACTGGTCCAGGAGGCGCCGTCACCGAAAGTGATCGTCTCAAGGCAAGAGCTAAGGCGATGATGCAGCAGCGATCTGCAGCTCTTACCGGCAGGAAGATAGACGTTGGCGATGATGGTACTGCTGCAGCTCAGCGCCTTGAGGAGGAAAGCAAACGCGTCACACGCGAGCGCGAGGACAATGAGAAGATGGTCCGGGACGTGGAAGAGAGTGTGACAGAATACAGCAAGGGTTTGGAATCAAGTCTCAAGGAAGGAGCTGAAAGTGCCTCTGATGAGCACGAAAGACGAAGATGGGAAGATGGGCTTGGTGTGGAGGATGAGGTCAAGGACTTCATCTTTGATCTACAGCGCAGCTCGCGTGCAGCTCGTGTGCGCAATGAAGAAAGGCCTCAGCCTCGCGCAAAGCCTCCCGTTGAGGACGATTCGAGCTGGACCAGCACACCCGTCACTGGCACCGGAAGTCCAGCATCGAGCAGAGCGCCCGCTGCTTCATCTCCAGCAACGACCGGATCCTCATACTCAAGCTACCGAACTGCGGAAGAACGGGCGGCATTCATCAAGCAGCAAGCGGAGCAGCGCATGGCTGAGCGTCTGGCTGCACTGGGAATCAAGGCGCCGTCTAAGAGTGGTGGTGAGACTGCAACACAACGAGCTGAGCGAGAACGAAAGGAGCGGGAAGCCAAGTTGCGACAAGCTGAAGAAGAGGACGCAAGACGCGAGCAGGAGAGAAGGGCAAGAATTGATGGCGAATCGATCGCGCCACCCTCGCCAGCTGCTACCGCAGGCAAACCAAAGCCTCCACCTCCAGCCCCACGCAAGAACAGGAGTGAAAGTCTTCAAAGTGATACACAGCACAAAGCTGAGGTCAAACCCGCTGAGACTCAGATCAAGGAGCAAGCTTTGCGAGAGCAGGAAGCTGCATTGGCGAAGGAAACCGAGCAAATGGAGTATGTGAATATAATACGCATAGTCAAGCTTTGTGCTAACAGTGTCATAGGGGCGAGGAGGCACGTCAAGAACGTGAACTTCAACAACAACGTCAAGAAGCTGAAGCTTCACTTCGAGCTCTCGAAGAACAAGTCAAAGCCGGAAAAGCCAAGAAAGCCGAAGAGAAGAAGGCTCGAGAGGCAGCGAAGCGCGAGCATGCTGAAAAAGAAGCTCGTCTTGCAACCCAAAGAGCTGAGATTGAGGCTGCCAAAGAACGCGAAAGGCAACTTCGCCTCCAGCTCGAGAGCATGGACGATGACGACTCCAGCGATGATGAAGTCGAACGGAACATGCCTGCCGAAAGCACGCCAACACAGAGTACAGAATTGCCGAAGATTAATGAGCCGCCGCCAGCTCCTCCGCTCCCAGAGACATCAGCGCCACCACCTCCGCCACCGATGCCTGAGACCGCGACAAGTCCGCCGGCCGTGTCCAGCCCGCCATCCGAATCGAAGAATCCGTTTTTCAAGAGCATGAACCAGTCAGCGGCCTCTACATCCAACTTCACGTCGCCAGAAGCTCCTGAGAAGAAGGACACGAATCCGTTCCATCGTCTCACTCAGCAAGACCTTGCCAAACAGCAAGCACTTCCTGAACCGTCTGCGGCGCCAAGCAGGACAAGATCAAAGCCAGCTGACGAGGATGACTGGTCTGTGCTCGATTCAAGCGATGATGAAAGTGACGACGACGATAAGCCGCAAGGCGGAAGTGCGAAGCAGCTTGCGTCAATCCTGTTCGGCACGATGGCTCCTCCACGACCCTTGTCTGCAATGGACAGTCCAGTCTCGGGACCAGGATCGCCGGCCAATGCAGGCCGCATCGCCAGTCCTCCGCCTACAAACAGCACGCCAAGTGCACCGCCGCCACCTCCGCCTATGCCTGGGTCTTTCGACGAACCTCTTGGCGCACCGCCGCCTCCTGGACCTCCTCCACCACCAAGCATGCCTCCAAGTTCAGGCCCGCCAGCCGGTCTACCTGATCGTAGTGGTCTCCTCGAACAAATCCAGCTTGGCAAAGGGCTGAAGAAGGTGCAGACTAAGGATCGCAGTCAGGCTTCCACTGCTGGGCGAGTCTTGTGAGATGCTTGGCTTAAAATGTAATGGTGTGTAGTGTTCGTATATAGACTGAGCAAAGCTGATATTACTTCAACCCAAACAGCTCTTGTCAATTGGATCGTGGACGTAGAACTGCTCCAGCATCCGTGCTACGCTCGAATTGCTCACTCCATCAGCCAGCTTCAGCTGCCTCTGATTCTTGACGGACACGTCATTGCGATTTTGGAAGCATATTCGTTGGTGGTGTATGCGTAGGAGTCGAAAAAGGAGTCGTTTGTAAGCGGGCGTACTGCTGCAATAGGTATGTCGCCATGGCCGAGGTAAGCGTTGATTGCCTGACAATGTCGTTAGACATTTGGATATTTACGTGTTCGTGAGCGTGAATGTACAGAAGTGGCGAGAGAGCCATAAGAGGAATTGGGGTTGATCATCACGGCTCTCAAGTCGGCCGTTCCGCAATTGTGAAGCACATTGGCTACTGCTAACGCTCCCACATCATCGACGTCGCCCATGATGTCTGTGTCAATAATGATCGCCTTGCCGCCATGGCTGGTATCGTTTTTCAGGGCATTGGCTGCTGATAAGAATGAAAGAAAGACGCAAAAGATGGCTGAGACAAAGCTGAACATGCTGCACCGATTCTCGTCCATTTCAATGTATGTTGCACCAACGCCTCCGTGCCCTCTGAACCAGTATCGTGTGTCGTGCGAGTGCAGTGCGATTTGTGATGCGCTTGCCCTGGCCGTGCCAATTTCGCCGAAGCGCCCGCTCCCTCGCCGCAGCTCGAAGCGGGGAAGGATAAAGGCAGACATTACTCCCATCGACTACCTGCTCTTTTCGCTAGACTTTGCACAATCTACACAGCCCGATTAAGGATGGAGTGGGTGTGTCGGTCTAGACATGCAGCTGACACAATACCACATAATCATGGATGCTGCTGATCATGCTGACATGCACGCCTGCACCTCTCTCATGCCAATCCCAAAACAGATATCGCCGATGCGTCTTGGGGAAAGTCATACCAAGGCCGCAGTCCCTGTCTTCGACGTGGCAGCTGTTGTGCAGCCCAGATACTCAAGTGAAGATCGATTCTGCATCAGCCTTGGAGCATACTGACGTTCGCGGAGGGCATGAATCCTTCCATGTGGTCGGGAGTGAACTCTGCGTCTGGTTCGTGAGGAGCGTCGGCGGTGGTCACGTTGACCTGGAAAGAGTCAGTAAGACACATCAAGCACCAGCAGCCTCGACACCGGCAGTGAGCGGTGGCAACGAGAATCGCCCAGCACTAGCCGGAAACACTCCACTTACCGAATCATCTACCCAGCCATGCTGGATTCTCAAGTTCCAAAAGGTGACGACAAGGCGATTGACAAGATCCGGGCTCAAGTTGTTACGCTTGAGGATATGGACGAAGCTGTGAGGTGACCAGTTCCGCTCAATGGTGTCACCAGGAGGCGCAATGGCGAGGGCGATCATGCAGAGCTCAGCCAGGTCAGGGTGCTCTTCGGTCCAGAAGTTCTGCCACCATTGGATTGGAGTCATCTGCTCGCTGGCCATCCAGACCATATTGTTGGCGAACGGACCCTGCTTGACTCGGAGCAACGACAGCATGGCAAGCAGCGACGAGGCCTTGGGGGCGTGATTGTTGGCATACTTGAGGAGGAAGGCTTGCAGGGAGCGGGACTGGGTCTCCTCGTTGCTGTCGAGAATGGCAGGGCGGCGATGGCGTTCTTGCGGGTCTGCCAAGTAGGCAATGAACATCAGGGGAGCATCGACCAGCGCGTGGGTGAGCTGGTGTCTGCTGGGCACTTTGAAGGCAGGACGAAGGGTGCGCAGGAAGGCCCTGAAGGCGGGATGCTCGGTGATGTTCGGATTGAGGCCCGACGAGTGAATCCACTGGGCACAGGCACTGGTGGCGATGTCCTGCTCGTTGGCGGACATCGACCCGATGCCTCGCGTGCGGGCGCGCTGTTGCTGCTGCAGCTCGGCGGCAGAGGGCAGAGTCGGGTCGAGGCGGTGTGGTTGATACGTGCGCCACAGCAGCTCGGGCAGTTCGGCGCAGCGTTGCAGATGCTCGATCACTCGCGCCTTCTCGTTGGACGTCCATTCGGTCATGCAATGCTTGCACGTGACACGAGGGTGGCGTTTGCCCGAGTCCTCGTCGAGGTTGCGCTTGACCTCCAGCCAGCACTCGTCGCGTCCCCGAGGCATGTCGGCGGCGGGGCGCGGCGGGGCGGAGCGGGGCAGGGCGGGGCGGGGCGGGATGTCACTTCCTTCGTCACGGCCTGAGCTCAGTCAGGCTGCCCGGGTCGGAGTCGTGTGTGTCGTCGTGGCTCGCGTGGACAAAGCAGTCGTGGATTCCACCGTGTTTGCCGTCGCAGAGGAGATGGTAAAATCTTGCGCCCGCAGCCCGCCCCGCCGGCAACTGCCGACCCGGATGTCTTGGCACGTCCAACCTCCCTCGCGACTTCGTGGACTTTCTCCTCGCAATCAAGCCGCAAATGTCTTTCTCCAGCAAACAAGGCTGTCAAAGCGTCGAGCTCGCATCTCCCTCAATCGCTTCATACAATAATGAGAGTGTAGACATCTTCATCTCTATTCCCCCGAACGAGTATTCGTGACCGCGATGCAACAACTGCTACAGCAAAGGTATACACGCAGCTCCAATCAATGACAGTGACATGCGCGGCATCAGCGTCAGTATATATCCTAGAGCCTGACTTGGGATGAGGGCAAACGAATGCCTAGAACCATTCGTGGAGCCGAACCTCCTGAAAGCGGGCCAGATAGTGACGTGGCGATGAGTGTGCTTGCAACTGAGCGAGAGAGTGAGTAGGCCTGTGGGCAGTGACGCAGTCTGCATGTGATTTCACATGAAAGTGAGCACGAGCTGTTCAGTGAAGCAGGCGAGCACACAAAAAGGAGCCCTTCTTCGCGTCCACACTCATTCTTCGACATCAACCAACTCACGACTACGACACAATCAGACCTTCGGACATCAACCCGATCTCCGCCTCTTACAATCATCCAGATCATACAGCGGCACTACATTTGACAGCTCGCTTGCCTGACCATCTGCTGCACCAGCGATTGCGATCATTTCAATCTTGCGCCAGCTGATCTACGTGCTAAGGCGCCTTCGCCGACTGCGCTACTCGGACCAAGTTCACGCTCGTGACTTCGCCTTCCACTTTCACTTGTCTCTAGATTCAAGGCCAGACGTCCACCTATAGCACCGAAACAGCTAGCTATACCCAATCCAGACGAAAATGTCTCAAGACACTCCATACCTAATGGAACAAATGATCAATCTCGAGGACACGGACGAAGATTACGACACTGCGTCGGGTTTCCAGTTGGCACAGACACACACATCCAACGATACCCGCCTGATTCGTGGTGTAAGTCCTCGGATCCAATTACTTCATCTCCAAGTACTCAGCACTAACAGATCAGCCGAAGGCACCTAGGAAGACTGACGTGCAGGCACGAGCTCCTGAGACAGAGACCAATGACGATGAAGACCTGGAGCAATATCTTACCGAGGCCGATGACGACGAGGACCTGGAAGAATATCTTACCGATTCGGTGGGCAGCGAGGAAGGCATTGCGTTCGAGAATCGAGATTGGTCGAACTGTGTCTGGGACTCGGACGCAATCGGAGGTGAGAGCTCCTCTGAAGAAGGAGAGTCGGCGTATGATGGCGACACTGAAATTTCACCTCTCGACTCTGAGTCAGACGACGACTCCGAAGCAGACGAAGAGACTGTCGATGTTTCTTTCGAAGCCTTCCCTCCAGAAATCCGCAACAAGATCTACCATTTCGCCTTGGTTGATACGAACCCAATTCTAGCAGTCAACGACCCCACCAAAGCGAATAAGTGCCAGCTATACTCAGCTCAAGGCGGCATCCGAAACCACCCCTCCATCAAGTCCCTCCCACGCATGCCTGGCTTCCCCGTCCAACTCCTCAGATGCAACAAAGCCATTTCCATCGAAGCGGCCAAGATCTTCTACGGCGCCAACTCCTTAGTGTTCTGGATCGGCAAGGCCCCCGTCAACCACATGGACTTCTTCTTCGGACCCACCCAATGCCCATACACCAATGCGCTCCAGCCTCGAAGCACCTTACCATACATGCTCAACATCAAGTTGATCGAGCTGGCCGACCACGACAGTCTTGCACAGATCACCAAGCGCTTCAAGGAAGCCGCCAAGCAAGCACGAAAATCTGGCGAGAACATGGCTCTGCAGAAGCTATACATTCGGAAGCTCGCGTGGAAGCAGGATGAGCTTGTCGCCGAGTTGGTTCCGATGCTTCGCGCTCTCCGTAAGCTCAAGCCGGAGAAGTCGCTGGAGGAAAGCGGTGTGATCGAGCTGGTGGAGTTCATCTCGTGGGACAAGGGTGCTAGCGCCAAGCAGAAGCGGCAGGCGAATGACCGCAACAAGCTCATCCGGAAGGCTTTGAAAGTCAGTCTCCAGGCCATGGAATGAGGATTGGCGGAGACAAAATCATATCAGATCGAGGACGACGAGGGCCACTGAAGCGTGTCTTTCCGGGAAGCCTTTAACTCCGATTTCCGGATATGATCTGAGCATTTCATGGAGAGATTGGTGCCTTCACCCCATGGACGCTCTCCGAAGAAGCATTAGTACAGAAGACGAGCATAAGTTGAGGATGATTCCCATTTGCTTTCAATTGCCCGAGTAGCTTGCATTCGGATCTTGGATATGACTCGAGCGCGTGTCGACGGAAGACTGGTGCGGTTGAGATATGAGCATTCTGCGGAGAAGGCGTTGCTTTGACACAATTAATAGTATCGAGGACGAGCGTCATTTGAGCGAGCGAGTCTTCTATGATTTGGGCCTTCTGGTTGAGAATAGATATGCTTGAGTCACAAGCAATTTGCGAGAATACTGCAGCAATAAAAAGTTGTGCTTACCGATAAACTTCAGGGTGAATATCGTCCTCCCTGCTTGTACTCTCCTCTCCTCACGTTCTTCCTCTGCTGCCTGAATGAAACTTCGCTCGTTTGGTGTGCTAAAGCCGGGCTATTCACAGCAGCTTCCAATGTTGCTGTGACTTAACACGAAGGTAGCGCGGGAGATCGGAGTCAACGGGACTCATATACTCCACTGACTGTGACCGTAAGAGGACCTTCTGCCGGAGTCTGCCGGCGGCGATGCGAAGTAGCTTCATGGATGGTGGTAGGAAAGCAACAGTCTATTAGTGTAGGTTATCTGGCCAGTAGGTATCACTCATCACCACAGGTGGTTCTAGGCAGGACAACGCAGTCTCCACTTCCATGCAATGTATCCTCACTCCTCATCCTGCGATATCCCGCGCCTTGCTTCTTCTTTCTCCTTTTCTTCCTCCATTCGTACTACCAGAAAACAGGAAACAGAATCGCCACTTGCGTGCAAGTGAAAACTTTTGCCATGAACGGTTCTACCATCTTATCGTCGTGATGTCGTTTCGGTCGTGTCGAATCAGTGTCCTGTGTATCCTCTCGTCTATTGCAAGTCGGTACCGCCAAGCTTGCTGGCGTCGTCGTAGAGGTCTATTATGCATCCAGCGGACCAGGCTTGGGTTGGGCACTATCAATTATGTTAGCATCAGAGCCCACACTCTGACAGGGTATCTTCAGCTTACCGAGTCAGCGCAGAAAGATCCATTGCGATTGGTAAGCTCAGTGAGACCTCTCCATGGGCTGTTGTGAATTTGGTCCTTGCAACCTTTGAGGCGCTGCGTCACTTGCTGGAAGGCCTCGATACGCTCCTCCTTGGTCTTACGACGCTTCAGGTCAAAGTGCAACAAGGCACGGAGGAAGAACCCAGTAGGCCAGCACCACTCCGGGCCTTGATGGTAGTTGCGACCATGCGCTGTCTGGTAATTGTCGGAGTCATCAGAGTTGATGTAGTCGGGATGGTATTCATGATCAGCCGGGTCGAGCGTGGCCATGCCGATCGGACCGCGGAGGTATTTGTCGGCCAACTCGAGCGCACCGAGAGCGTGCTTGGGGTCGAAAAGATCGGGGGCGACAGTCATCGCGATGGGGAAGTTCGGTCGCAGCTGGTAGTCTCGATACTCCTTGCTACAGCGGTGGATGTCTTTGTAGATGCCGCGACGATTGACAATAGCTGGATTGACATCGTATTGATGCCACTGGCTGTCGTCCGCAGGAATATAGTAGTGGTGCTCGAAGCTGTTTTGAATCAACGAGGCCCACTGGCCATATGTGATTTGCTTGCCTTCGGGAGTCTTGACGCCATCGAACTTGAACTTGCCAGCCTTGTGCAGGCCATCAACCCAGTGCAAGGCGCTGTACAGCAGACCGGTTATTTCCACTGGTGCACCATCACGGCAAGTGCCTGGATGTCCTTTGTTGCCGGCTTTGACGGAGTCACCCATCTTGTCCATCCAGGTTCCGGCATTCCATTCGTTGCCACCATAAATGATGCCATTCTTCCAATCAACGTCGATGTCAATGTTGAAGCCTTCCCACTTCATCTGACTGTCAAGCTCTGGGCCGGCGTTGTACTCGCGGAAGTGCAGGCCGCTGGCGTGACGCTGGAGGATTTCTTGGATGATCTCCTCGGTAGTGCTGGACCGCGAGTAGGCGCGTGGGTCGTGCCATGAGAACCAGGTATCATCGTACGGCAGGAAGCGACGCCGCACGGGTTCTTGGAGGAAGTTGAGACCTTCTGGAGCCATGGCGACATAGTCTTGAATGTTCTGCAGGAAGAACCAGACGGAGTCTCTGCTGTTGTACCGGGGAAGAGTGCCGGAGTTGAGCAGATTAGGAATCATGCCGTGCTTGACCAAGCTGCCGAAGCAGAAAAGATGCTCCTTGGCTTCTTCGTAACGGCTAGTACACGTGAGAAGACCTCGCATGGCGATCATGGTGTCACGTCCCCAGCAGCGCGCCCAGTTTTGAGCGAAGTGGGGCAAGCCAGCAGCGAGAGATGGATCCAACTTGTCTGGCCAAAGCTTGGCATTGTCCATGTAGCCTTGGACCTGGCAGGAGACCATTGCCAAGGATTTGAGGAAACGCTGACCGTGCTGTACGATGGGATGCATCTGCTCGATCGCACGTTCGTGTGCTGCCTTCTTCGCGGTGCGGACGACCAAAGCAAAGCAGCGCGGCAAGAGGAAGCTCGGCACATTGCGGATGGCATCAAAGCGTGAACGAAGCCACTCAGCGACGGGAGTAACGCCCCTGTAGATTCCATCTTTGCGTTGTGCGAGCTTGTCGAGTCGATTGACGATGTAGTCCAGCGCCCATTGACCTTCGCGAAGATGATTGCAGATGGGATGGCCAAGGTCGTTGTGGTCGACGACCTCGCGCAGGACTGACCACCAGCCTTGCAGACCACAGTATACCAGGCTCCCTATGCCGGGGATCGAGTACACGCCGTCAGCTCCACCAGACATGGTACGCTCTTCGGAATCGGCGCGGTACATGATCGCATTGATGTCGTTGAGGCTGCACTTCTCAAACGCTTGGCGTGCGCCGGACGTCAGGTATTTGTCGAGGCCTTCGCTATGCTCAGCACCAGGGATCCAAGTCTCAAAGACCGCGATAGAGCCCGGTGGGAAGTGGTCGGGCACAGTAATGACAGTATCACCGCCGCGTTGCTCAACAGTCACACCTCGGAGATCCTTGGTCTTGCTGGGAATACCACGCAGCACCTTGTCATTGATGGCGGCCTGCTTCGCTTCCCAGGTTTGGTCGCACTCAAGGTTCCAGGCTCCCAAAAGCCTCGCCTTGGTCCCAGTAAGCCACTGCGATGGGAAACCAGCCTTGTCATTGCCGTAGCCTGGGAAGGCCGTGTGGGCGATGAGATAGTAGCCTTTCCGAGACTTCGGATGCACACGGTGCACTGTTATGTATTCGCCGTCGTGATGCACGAAACACTCATCGTACTTGTCCTTGCCCATGATGACGTGGAGTTGGTTCATCAAGCGCTTGACGCCACCAGTACCCTCGCTCGGTCCAATCTTCATGGCCTGGCCTTGTTGGAGATTGCTGTAGGGAGAAGTGTATTGACGCTTCTCGTGGACGAGCTCGATGAGTTGTGGGTACAGCTCATCCATGCCGAAGACAGACCCAGAAGCAGAAGCGCACATGGCGACAAGGGCCGAGTTGGGAAGAGTGTCGCGACCATCGCGACGCTGGACAGGAGTCTCGTTGTCGTGAGTGCAATCCATGAGGAGAGCGTGAATCTTGGAGGGCACGATCTTGTGAATGATTTCACGTCCATGTGGAGCGCTGCCATTAGTCAGGCTGCCGTTGGATGATGATGGCTTGTCCGTGCTAGAGATGTCATCAACTTCGAACGATCCAATAGGTCTTCCGCAGTTGATGTGCACAAGTCGGGACATCTCGGCGGTCGACCAGACTTGCATGGCTTCTCGAATGAGGAAACTGATGCCAAGCTTCTGACAGTAGAGAAAGTCCATCTTCTCATCACCACTGAACAGCTCTGCGGCAACCACGAGGTTTGATCGGACGTGACGAGCAGCGTCGAGCATGTGCGAGGCGACGTGAAGCGGCGTCGAGTGGCAGTTGTCGATGCGGAAGCCGTGGAAGTACTTGGCCATGAGCTGCGTGTACTCGGTCATGAATTGCCACAAGAAAGGACTGTCCTGTGGGCCAGAGCCGTATCGCAGCTTGACGCAATCACCCCAGACAATGAGCTCACGGCGAAGGTAGACCTTGGACTTGGGGCCTGCGTTGTCACGCATCACATCGGCAGCCCAGACCCAACCATTGTTCGCCAGGGCAAGCGAGTCTGGGTCGTGCTTGGCAGTGGTGTCGTTGTATGGCAGGCGGGTGAAGTAGGACTCAATGAGAGGATTCTCGAGTGTGATGTCGCCAATCTTTGGCCCGTTGTCATCAAGTCTGATATACTTGGTGCGGTTGAAGATCTGCTCCATGAGGGCTGCAACGTCGGCATCGTATTCCTTGTACCAGTCGAGGTTGAGCTCGTTGAGGAACGCGTGGATCGTGCCGTAAGCTGTCCGCTCATCGCCGGCACCGTTGCCGTGGATATTGTACTTGCCAAAGAGCTTGGCCAGAAGGGCAGCACCTCGCTGAGGAACAACTTTCCTGCGGAAGCGCTCGCCCATACGATCTGTGCCCAGACAACACTTCTCGCGGAGCCAGTTGGCCTTGTCCTTCAATGACCAATCCGCGATGTTCTCGGGCACGTCGACATTCCAGTCGACATCGTTATCGGTCCACGCAGACACGATTTGGGTGGTATTCTTGTCGACATCGCAAACGTAGAACTCCCACAGCTTGATGGCGCCGATGACGTGAATCTTGATGCCGTCCATGATCTTGAGGAGATCGTCGGTTCCAGTGAGATGGGTTGGCAGACCGAGAGACTTCAGTCGAGAGGAGTACTGCAAGAGAGCACTGTCGAGCTCGTAGGCAGGTCGCAGATGCGGGGCTGTATTGATATTATAGCCCGACTCCGGGTGCTCCTCGAGCCACTTGCTGTTGTTTGCGGTATGGTTCCAGACCACGTCCGTCAGACTAAGAAGGCCGTACTGGTGTTCCATGTTCGACACGAGATCGACGATGTCCTTCTCGCCATTGGTGAAAATGTGAGGATCAAATTTGTGCTGATCGTAGATGGAATATGGCGAGTTGCTGTCTCCACGCTCCATGAGAGGCGTGAAATGGACCATGTTGTAGCCTCTTTCGCTGATACCACGCAGATGGCGGTAGAAGTCGGTGGGGAACTTGCCCATGAACTTGGACAGGACGGATATGATGGAGATGGCATCGAGCGGGAGCGGAGCATCGTCGGCGTGCAGCGACGGCGAGACATCGATGTAGAAGGTTTCCGTGCGAGTCGGCTGCGGCGTGGCAACGTCGGCCGTGGTGAAAGGTGGGAGCGGAGTGTAGGTGCAGTAGAACTCAAAGGCACCGGCACAGTGGATTGGGATATCGATGTCGATGGACTTGCTGAAGCTCGGATTGAGTTTGTACTGGTGGAAGGTCTTGCGATCGAAGCTCTCTCCCTTGGGCGGGATGTTCACCCAGAGACTGCCTTCGCGACATATGGAGCTCGTGCCTTCGATCTGGAAGCGGACGCAGTAGGCGGGCTTCGTCGGTGGGGCGAGGTAGATGTAGGGCGGAGAGCCTGGCAGGTCCGGGGAGCCATCGTCCTTCAGAGGAAGCAGGTACGCGGTGTGGTTGCTGATCTGCTGCGGACTCATGATCGCGATGGCGGTGACGGGGCTGCTCGCGAGCGTCCGCTCAGCTATGCGCACGGCGCAGAGCGTGTATCGCTGCCGTCTGGAGGCGTGGCTTCTCTGCTGGCTGGGCAGAGTGGAGGGAGCGTGGAGGCTGCGGATGATGCAGCGTGGTGAGATGCTTCGGTGCAGAAACTGCGGTGGTGAGGCTCGTGGGGTAGAGTATGGTATCTTACAATGCCCGATATGTACAATGAGTGACAATGTGCAAGATGGCTGCCTCGTAAAGCTGGCGAGGTGGGAGTTGTGCTGTGAGAGAGAGATGGAGTGGAGTGGAGTGGAGTGGGAGTGGGCGTGGTGTTGATCTTCCTCGAATGGCTACGTGTACCTGCAGCTGCAGCTGCCGCCCATCGCGCTGGCACCGAGAAGGCAGGCGGACCGGCGGTGCAGGAACGAGAGCAGCAACAAGCGCCTTTGACGTCCTTCCTACGTTGAGTCGGTAGCGCGGTGCAGCACAATGGATGCGCCTCCCGCGTGACGGACGCCCGCGCCTGCATTGGAGCTTCGGAGGAGCAAGATCTCATCGCCGATCCCCGCCTCATCTCTCACTAATTATACTTGGATGTCAGAGTATTTTAGCTGCAGGCCGATCAGCGCCACATTTAATTTCCGAGGCATTCCTTCGTAGATAACCGTATCTAAGAAGTGTCGATATTGCTAGCTAAAACAGGCATTCCGCAGACGCAGGGGTCTATAACCTTATATCGTCGAAACCTAATAGTATAGGGCCTATATAGGAGGTGTTATAGGAGGTGTTATAGGCTCTATTATTACTACAATACTTATAGCTTATAGCTCTTTGTTACTATAATACTTATAGCTCTTTAGTCTTTAATATAGCTTATCTTATCCCTATTTCTATAACTTATTAACTGCGCTTTTTGCTATTTAATCTATCGACCGAAGGCTCTTTTATAAAGGCCGCTAAATACGATTAGGTATAGCTATTCGTCTCTAATATATAGGAAGAGAAGCCTCTTAATTAGTCGAAGGATAGGCTAATAAAGCGGACGATCTACTATTATCGTTATCGGCGTAACTTTAATCGTAGTCGTATAGACTCGGAGGGTATTCGAAAGATAGAATATAACGAGTTGCCGTATAATGCCTTAATCGCGGTAATTACGCTATTTAATAAAGGCGCGGAGGTTCCTTACGGATACAAGATCGCGCGTAGAAGTCGTAATTCTACTATAGAGGGCGATAATATCTATAGTTATACGATAGACTATATAGTAAGGTTAATATAGTAGATTAAGTTAGTTAGAAGCGTTAGAAGCTAACTGCGCTATAGGACGTAAGAGCTTCTAGTAACGGCCTCTAGGTTGTTATCGAACACCTAATAGATTAGCATAACTATAATATAGCTTATATCTTCTACCTATTAAAGGAGGGTATTAATGCAGGTCGTCTTGCTATTATTAGAGCGCACTGTGCAAAAAAGGGTGTTATAAAGTAGTCTACGAAGAAGAATCTTAAGAGGGTGTCCCTAGCTAAGAAGGGTAATATTCGACTATAGCTAGATAGCCTTAATAAGCATCTCGGGCCTCTTATAGACGACGTAATAGGCGCAGGACTTTCCTATAAGGCTTTGTCCGTCCGTATAGATGCCTTCTATTATAAAGGTGTTATATAGACCGCTAGTTAGTAGCGAGAGATACTAAATAGCGGTATTAGAGGGGATGTAAGTTCCTAATACCTAAGTTTCTATAGCAACGACTAACTGTCTATATATAGTTATTTCTCTTCGATGCGACCTACAAAACGTCCGATAATAACTTCTACCTGTTTATAGTCTATATCCGTAATGCCTTCGGGTCCTAGATACTAGGGGGGCATATATTATTACAAAGCTAGCGAGCTAAGCTAATCGAGGCTAGGCTTTAGGTCTTAAAGAGATAGGCACCTAGCTAGAAGCCTATAGTAGCTATAACTAACGACTTAGCTTAAGAACAACGTACTATTCGACTAGCCTTCTAAGAAGAAGAGATTACGATATTTCTATATTAACGATACGCAAAGGAGACCTTCCTACGTTACTTCTCTAAGAAGCAGTATCTATAGGTCTAGCGGCTATTCTCTTACGCTATTTATTACGCTCGGAGTAATGCTAAAGTCGTCGAGACTATCGACGATATAGCAACTAAACTTCGAGAAGCTAATGCGACGACTAAATAGGTAGATTACCTTCTTAATAACTAGCGTAAGAAGTCCTATTTGTAGGCAACTTAGGCACGGCTATATAGCCCTCTTCTTATATAGGTCCGGACAACGTCGCCTCTTAAGGGCTATTATAACGCTATTAAATATAATAAGAAGAAGGACATAGTCTAGCTTTCTATGTATAGCACTATAGTAGAGCTAATAACGACTAACGCTCGAACATTATATAAGGCAGACCTCTAACTATATAGGGTCGGAAAATCTACTAACTACTAGAAGATTAAATAGATGCCTTTCTTCGAAAGATTATAACCTCTAGCGGCTTAGGACCTTATTAGAAAGCAACTGTCTATTGCAAACGAATGTAAGGCTAAAGGACTGCTAATATACCCCGGAATAGTAATATATAATAATAGACAACCTGCCTATTGTAATTGCCTTCTATAGTTTCAAACCTACTTGCCTTGTTACTATATCCTTAGGTTCTACCTATTTGTTACGCCCTTTATACTCTAGCAACAATAGGCATACGTTAACTAATATACCGGCTTTAATTCTACGAAGATAAGTCTATATTAGAAGCAGCGAGACGGCAACTAACTATAGCTAGAAGGCTATAAAGATACGCGGAAGCTATAGACTATAGGTAACCTATATCTTCGTAATTTAAGGTTATACTATAACGAGGCTATAGAAGGCCTTTCTTAGCACTTCTATCGTATCCGCGACGACAAGATAGTCGATCTAGTAGTACGCGACAGCTATATACGCGGCTTCCTTCGTAAGGTTAAGGACACGTTATATAGCCTTACTAACTACTTAATTACTAACTATTACGAGAGCGGCGCCCCCGAGGTTACTTTTATAGGTAAGCGGCCGCGGTAGTAGACCTTATACCCTCTAGCGCAACCGACGACTCTAACTCGACCGACAATAACAACCTCCTTCCGAGCGCTAGCTATAGCGCGGCCGCCGCGATAGCGACCTTAATAGCGTATTAATCGCGCTCCGTTATCGTTACTAATACGCCCTTACTTCGGGCCGCCGCTAGCCTTCCGTCTATTACCTTACAAACGCAACTGCGCGTCGTTACTAGATATATAGTCGGTATAGCCTATAGATATAAACTTAGTTAAAGAGGTAGATTTAATAGGCGCCGATACGCCTAGAGCGGCGAATACGTCCTTTGTCGACCTTATAACGCCTTAGCGGCCGTTACGAGTTATAGACCTTAGATTAGAGGCATTAGCAGCTTCTTAGTTTAACTAGATAGACAACGACGACGCTATACGTAAGATATAGGGCAAGAGAAGGACTTCTAATAGATATAGCGATAGTAGCAAGAGGCAGAGATAATATAGCGATAGCAAGGTGCTTAATATAGCGACAGCAAGGTGCTTAATATAGCGATAGTAAGGTACTTAATATAGCGATAGCAAGGTACTTAATATAGCGACAGTAATAAGGTAGTTAATATAGCGATAGCAACAGCGACTAATTAGGCAAGCCGTAGTGCTAAGAACACCCTCCTTCTTAACCCCAATCGTCACCTTAGCTAAGGCCGTCATAATCCGAAGCAGGTTATACCGCCATATTGGGAACCTGCCTGCAAACTTTGGTGGCGCTCGCCCAAAAGAATGGTACGCTAAATTTCTGGGACATACAAGCACATCTCTCTCACTCCCGCGCCGCCGCGTGAGCATGTGAAGAGCTCCCGTCCCGTCTCGCTTCGGCTTCGGCGTGGTGTAGCTCGCGGGAAATGCGCTGGTTGTGTGCTTCACTGTCGCAGCGGTGAACGGTTCATTGCCCATGTTGCGGATTGCGGAGAATGGGTGCGCACGGGCAGCAGCAGGCCCAAGCTTCCTTGTCGATAAGGATCAAGTGAACACACGAAAAAGCTAGCCGTCTGCGCGTGAGCAGTGAGCGCACCACCTCCCCTCGCCTCGGCGTCGTCACCATGTTGCGACCCTCGCCATTCCTCTACACACCGCCTACGGCTGACGCGGGCTCGTTGGCAATATTGCATCTGAAGCGCGATAGCCTGCTTCCCGTAATGCTTCAATCCTCGGCCGATGATGGCTACGCGGAAGGAGCAGTGACCAACACCAGGTTTGGCAGTTTCCCTCACTCTACACTCATAGGTTCGCAATGGGGGAGCCAGGTGAGAGCGAGCAAAGTTGACACGGGCACGAGGGGTCGGAAGGGCAAGAAGGCGTCGGCGGAGGAGGAGAGTGCTGCCGCTGCTGCTGCTGCTGCTGCGGTGACCGAAGACACAACGGGAAGGAAGAGGAAGTTGATGGAGCAGGAGCGCGCGCAGGACGGAGAATCACCGGCCAAGAAGCGCAAGCAGGAGAAGGTCGGTGCGAGAGATGCGCAGTTGGCAGTAAAGGCTCCGATCGACGCCGGCTCGGGATTTTTACACCTCCTGCAGCCCACGCCGGAATCGTGGACGTCGTCGCTGGACCATCGAACGCAAGTCGTCTACACACCCGACTACAGCTACATCTTGCAGCGACTCCGCGTTCGGCCCGGAAGCACGCTCATCGAAGCCGGAGCGGGAAGTGGCAGCTTCACTCATGCCGCTGCTCGCGCCGTCTTCTCTGGCTACCCTTCCACGCGCTCTCAGAAGACGGGCAGAGTGTGCAGCTACGAGTTCCACGAGCCGAGAGTGCAGACGCTCCGAGCCGAGATTACGGATCATGGCTTAGACGGCATCGTGCACTTGACGCATCGCGACGTCTGCAACGACGCCTTTCTCCTCGCTGATGGCTCCTCTCCGAGCGCGAACGCCATATTCCTCGATCTGCCCGCACCTTGGATGGCGCTCAGACACCTCACTCGCGCAGGTCCCAACTCGCCTCTCGACCCTGACACTCCAACTCAATTATGCACCTTCTCGCCATGTATCGAACAAGTCATCGCCACGGTCTCGCATCTGCGCAAAGCTGCTTGGGCTGATATCAGTATGGTCGAGGTCCAGCACAAACGCATCGATGTTCGCCGAGAAAGAGTAGGTCTGAAGGAAGAAGGGTTGAGAGGCGTCAACGCAGCGGCTGCGCATGTGAATGAAAGCGTCGAGAGGTTAAGGGAGGTCGAAAACAAACTGGCACACTTCCACGCTTTGCATCATACTGACAGCCAGACCAGGAAAGAGCACAGCCAGAACAGCAGCGAGGGTAGGCAGAAGAGTAAGGAGGGTCAAAGGGAGAGCAAAGCGGAGCGCCTGGAGAGGATTAAGAAAGAGGCCGATGAGAGGAAGCTGTACAAGGAAGGAAGATTGGTGCATAGAAGTGAGCCGGAAATGAAGACGCATACGAGCTATCTGGTCTTCGCAGTACTTCCGAGGGAATGGTCGGAAGAAGACGAGCAGAGAGCGCTTGAGAGTTATCCGATCGACGATATCATGAAAGGTGCTGGGAGTCCGAAGGCTGTGAAGACGTGAGGCGATGGACATCGCCAGCATGCATACAGCAACTATACATCGACATCGCAAAGGCCTGATCTAATCTGTGCCCAAGCTCGATCAGCTGGAGTCCGACATGCAATCTGCCCTCACATTGGGCTGGTCAGAACACATCGCCACTCATGATCTGCTCTCTATTTCCCAGGAAGAAGACCGGGATGTGCTCCAAAGGCGCAGGTACGGTCACCTCCCGTCCACCAGCAAACAACTCATGGGTCCACCAGTACGTCCAAGGCTTCGTTGTTGCCGTAGCATTGAAGCCGCCATGGCCAGTCGGGATGGCAGCCTCCGCCTTTGTTTTAGGCAAATAGACAGTCCATTCCGTCATATTGGGCAACGTGACAGGCGTGACCAACACACTTGGTCCAAACATGTACTGCTGAGTAGTGTAGTTGGAGTTGTTCGCCGAGTAGAGGAGAATGTTCGGATCCGAGACTGAGAAATCCATGCACAGAGGCCTCATAATCATGCGCCCTGTCAAGCTAAACTGGTCGAACAGAGCTTTGACGTAAGGCTTGAGTTGGTAGCGGAGATTGATGTAGGACTTGATAATTGGGAGATTGTGCTCTCCATATTTCCTAGGTTCGATGTTGCAAGTGTATGCGTTTTGGACATGACAAGAGCGAGCGCCGTGCTAGGTGGGCAACTTCAATCAGCTGGCGAAGGTTTGGTGAGAGAGAAAACTTACGTTACGCATAAATGGCAAGAATGTGCCCCATTGCAGCCATCGAACGTACAGTTCTCGATAGGCTTCTTCATCAACATTGCTGCTCCAGTCAATTGTCGGATCGCCCTGAAAGCCTCCGAGATCGAGTGTCCACCAACTCCAGCCAGTAGCGGCAGCTGAGAGCCCAGAAGCGACTTGAGCTGCGAGCGTCTCCCATACCGAGGTCGTGTCTCCTGACCAGATCATCGAGCAGAATCTTTGCGAACCGATGTAGCCCGAGCGAGAAAGTGATAGATATTGCCACGGCTCGCCCATTTTCGTGCCCGTGGCGTTACGAAGGCCGTTTTCGATCGCTTGCTGATGTTCCCATGGGTAGAGCTTACCAGCAGAGGTCTGAGTGCCGGCGTAATAGAGCACGTCTGAGATTGGGTAGGGTGGTGAGTGGACAAAATCCGACATGCCATTATTGCTGTATGCTTCGCCCAAGTTGCGGCCATCTGCTTGGTCGATGCAGAAATTCTTGATGCCTTGGTCGAAGTAGTTGGCTTTGAGCAATGACTAAAGATATTCGCGAGCTTTGGGGATTGTTGCGTCGTAGTTGCGAATGTGTGAGCTAGCATCTTCCACACTCGGCCAGAGGGATGCCATAATTTCAGCACCGGTCAGCTCTTTCACTTTCTGCACCATGCCCTAGAAGCGAAAAGCACGAGTGTCAGCCACTGTATCAAAAGAAAAGCTTGTCGGCTCTCAAAGCCAAGGCTGAGACCAGCGTGATGTGTTTGATACGGCGACCGCAGCTTCTGTCATTCGGCGTAGTTATGCATTGCACCCTTTGATATACTTACCGGAACGTCAGGCCACAGATCGTGCCCACGAATGATAGTCGATCACAAGCATCGAGACTGGAATGTCGTAATCGTGGAAGTTTTGAGCCAGCTGGATGAACTCGGTCTGGTTTTCATATCTGAGCTTGCGGTGTAGATACCCCAGCGAAAAGTCTGGCGGTGTTGGTGCGCGGCCTGTGACTGCAGGCAGGCGACGCTGAAGCAGGTCATAGTCTCCTTGAGGTGCTGACATCACCACATAGAATAGTCCACCAATGTGGTTGATCGAGATGTAAATCGATTCCTCAGGTAGCCAAACTCCATCTCCCCGGTGCTTGCAGAGTTCCACACGAACGCATAGCCTCTGCTGCTCATGATCGACCAATTCATTGCGGACGTTACCGATCAGTGGTTCGCTGGAGCGGCAGGTTCACCAGCACTGATGGTATGGCAATTGCGTCGTGGCAACGTCTTTATCGTCGCTGTTCCGTGCTTGTGAATCGTGCAAGAAAATCTACTCATGGCACTCTTACCCGCAACACCAATCTTCCCAAGTGGCTGCAATCACGACAGCGTCATCTCATCCCCGGCGACATGAATCTCATCCGTGCACAAATGACAGACCTGCCTGCCGATGAGAAATATGGCGCAATCTACCAGCTCGAGCAAGACAACACGCACCTGATGGAGGAAAACCATCTCGCCTCCAATGGTCTTCAGGGTTTGTACGCTGCCGTACGTATTCTCGCCACTCAGCTTCAACCACTTTGGAGCGCGCAAGCTCTTGATATGTGAAGCAGACAGAGAGGACGCCTTTATCAGATTGTAGATGAACGTAGCCTCATAGTGCTAATACATTCCCAAACCACCTATGGTCTTCCGCATGAAATATGTTTACCCCAATATTTCTCTCTGTGGTCTTGTGCCACTGCCTTCTGTGATCCAATACCGATAGCCCAAGAACGATGCATTGATCTTGCGACTGTATGGTGGCCCAGAGACCAATGACAAGGCGATGCAGCTGACTAGGTTGGATGGTGAGGTGAAGTATCCGTGTCACCGGGCACGTCGAATAATGTGGTGGGCATCTGAGCATCAATAGGACCGACGGACATAGTTTGGCCGCTTGTGGCAGCGCGAACGCTCATTGTTGAACGACTGGCTCTCCCAATGGACACAGAACAGACCGAGACAGAGTCGACGACCGCACATGTGACTGGCGACGAGGAGCATCTTACGGGCGCCGTCAATGAGATCCCGACGGCCATAGCGGAGTATAGCGATGTGTACCCAGTCCTGATGGGAAATGAGACCGCATCCGAGTTGTGCAAACATTGGCCAGCTGAGGGACGCACGCTCCAGCCCGTGAGGGTCGCAGTATGCGTCAAAGTCGAAGTAGCCAATGTTGATGTCGGGGTCATCGACATCGACATTGCGATCGCGTGCAGGACTGGACCACTAGACCGGAATGCAGCGGCGCAGGACATGATTAGGATCGGCGAGGACCTCTGGATTGGTATCGCAGATTGACTGATGGTATTTCCATGGCTTGAGATGAGGACAGATCTGGCGCAACAAGAAGAACACGCGGTCGGCCAGCCAGGCACGGAACTTCCAGTCGTAAAAGACATCCGGGAGAGTAGAGACGCAGCTCTTGGCACGCGAAAGACCACCAGGCACTTTAGGTTGGCGGTGCATGTCATACTTCTCGAAGTCGAATGGCAATTGGATGTCCCCAGGCACATCATACCAGTCGCCAGGCGTGACAGCATGATCGGCCGAGCCGCAATATGGAAGTTGGGAGCTGGATGGATCGGCTGAGCCGCAAGATGGATCTGAGCATGGCTCTGGGGAGCCAGAGAACGGATGGGCCAAGCCGCAAGGGATGTATCCATCTCGAAGAGGCTTAGGTCGTGGGTACATGACACCTCCCTTGGTGAAGGCACGAGCGAATTTTGTGACATTCCTGATAGGATGCAATGGAGCGCGGTGGAAGGAGCTGCATCCGAAACGCAAGACGGCATCATGGCAGAGTGTATCGGGTCTTGGACCATTGTTGGCGTTGCCCCAACTAAGGCGATTTGGGTCTCTTGAATGCGCCTCCCATATGATCCAGGTGTCCCGGAGATCAGACATAGGCACTAGGAGTTCAGCTTGTTGTCGAACAGGGAGATTGGCAATATCCTTAACGTTGCGGCGGCGGCGTGCCTGTAGGAACCAATCGCTCAACGTAGGCAAGATTTCGGTAGTACTGCCATGGTTGTTGAAATCCAAGAAGGTACGCAGTTCATCTCTCCAACCTCCATCAAGGACAACATTCCGATCATTAGAGTTACCAGGATTGGCTGGGAATATCGCAGGAGTCCAGACACTGTCGATGATCGGACGTGGTGGTGGGGCAAAATGTGCAACCAGCGTCGAGATCGTGAATGGTCCACGGTACGGCGACATGTCTGCTGGTGCAGCATGGTGACCAAAATTTGGTGGGCCTGGAGGAGGATCTGCTGATGCAGCATGGTGACCAAGACTTGGTGACAGAGATGTGATCTCTTGGAACGAAGAGCTTCCTGGCATCCGATGCGCGCCGTAATGGAAAAGTGTCGGCTGTTTGAAGGTTGGCGCCAGAGAGCGATTGTTGCCACGTTGTTCATACCGAGTAATGAGCGCGTTAGCCTTCAAGCGGCGACCGACGACAGGGAGGTTCTCCTTTTGCCTGGAGACAGGTGACCGAAGGCTGCTTGGGTGTGCATTGCCTTGATCGGCCGTGGCCGCATGCTCAGTCCTGGCTTCGTGATGATCGGCCGTGGCCGCATGTTCAGTCATGGCTTCGTGGTGATCGGCCGTGGCCGCATGCTCAGTCATGGCTTCGTGGTGATCGGCCGTGGCCGCATGCTCAGTCATGGCTTCTTGGTGATCGGCCGTGGCCGCCTGCTCAGTCATGGCTTCTTGGTGATCGGCCGTGGCCGCATGCTCAGTCATGGCTTCTTGGTGATCGGCCGTGGCCGCATGCTCAGTCATGGCTTCGTGGTGATCGGCTGGTGCAGCATGGTGCTCAGCATTGACCGTGGATCGACCAGCCATATTTGAAGTTCGTGAAGGCGCATCGACACCACAATCGGCTGAGACCAGATGGTCAGACGCAGGAGGAGCACCAGAGCCGGCAGTAGCTTCATGGAAGAGCGCATGTTGACGTAAGACATCTTGAAGGCTGATGAGCTTGCTGTCGATCATTTGCTGAATGAGTTCGACATCGTGGTCGGTGTGTTGTGGGCCCGCGGCCTCTGAGCAGTGGTGCTGGCCAGATCTGGTTGTTGCTCAAGTGTGAATCAGGTCCCCACAGCCGAACCAGACTCAGTGCCAGCCCTTTTTTGTCGTTCCATTGTCATGATTCGACCATGCTTCGGCTTTGTTGACGTAGAATTGATATAAAGGCGGCATTAGGAGATTGTGGGGTTCTTATTGCTCTCTCAGCTTGGAATGCGCTGAAGAGTAAGCGCTGTTGATTGATATCTGCTTAAGTAATTCCACTTCTCTTCAGCTCATCTAAAAGACTACTGCCCCCAAGGAAGGGTTGCAATGGCGTCTGCCGGGCTGTTGTCCTCGCATACCTGACGGCATGGGAGCTGGCAGGTGTCGTAGTCGACCACCAGCGGCATCCGACCGTGGGTCTTGCAATTTTGGATTATCTGAGCGACACTTGGAGCAGGAGGTTGATGCGTGCTCTCCAGACCTTCTCAGGGATCCGTCTGGCGTGTGGCAGTGGCGATCCTCGCAGTCGACAGGGAGTATCGAGAGACTGAAGATGACAAAAAGTCTCTGGATGACGATAACAATCAGCCGTGAGGTGAGGCGAGGTGAGGTGAGGTGAGGTGAGGTGAGGTGAGGTGAGGTGAGGTGAGGTGAGGTGAGGTGAGGTGAGATGGATGATCAAGGTGCCCCGTAATGTTTGACGGACGTCTCTTCAAAATATTCAAGGCGATGACATGACGGGACGATGCACCTCCTTCAAGGTTTCCCGATAGACGCGTATAACGACCACACCAGCCAGACCACCAAGCATTATTAGACTCTGGCTCGACGCGCCAGATCGAATTCGAGCCAGGATGAACCGGCACAATCAGCCTTGTGAGTGAAGTGAACTCAACTCTTCCGCCTCCGCCATCTCGAGTCTTCTGACCGCAGCGCCCAGATCCTCCCTTCCCGCCGCACCAACAGCCCTTCGGCTACCAGACCGCGCCGTATCCATACGCCAACCAGGTTCCGCAGCAGCTGCAGCAACAACAGCAGCAGCAACCACAGTACTTTCAAAGCCTGCCGCAGGGCCACACCGGAAACTCGAGATCCACCGCGCAGCAGCAGCGACAGCAGCACAACGGCATCTTCGGCGATGCTCCCTCGCCTGTCCCCGAAACACCAGGCAATGGGCCTGGCGCTCCCCCGCCCGAGCCCAACTCGCCGCCAATCCACTATGAAGAGAATCTCATGAACGTGTTACGGCCAGAAAACGAGAGTCAATCAAATGCGAACGGCAACGCGAACGGCGACGCGAATGATAACGACGATGACGACGACGACGATGATGGCGATGTTGACCCGGATGAGCCGGTCTTTCAGCTTCCGCCCCCGCCAGAAGCAGAGTATCGGAATGAAGTAGAGCTCGAGGATGCCATTCACGCGTGGAGCAAAGAGCATGGCTACGAGCTTGTGCGGCGCGCCAGCAAAAAGAACGCCAAGGGTCAGCTGTACAAGCGCTACTTCCATTGCAGCAAGCACGGCAAGGTCAGCAGCTCCAAGACGCCTCAGAAGGATCGTGTACGCATCAACCGCAAAAGCAATCGTATTGGGTGTCCCATGTCCCTCGCTGCCGTATCTGTGAACCCGCACGACCCTTCGGGGAACTGGCAGATCCGTCACAGGAAGACACATCACAATCACCCAGCTGTCGACGCCATGCAGCTGGCCGGGCACAGGCGGAGGGCGCGTGCGGGAGGAGTAGAAAAGGCTGTGGATGGTTTATTTGCGATTGGCACCAAGACTACAGATGTGCTCAAGTTTCTGCAGCGCACGAATCCGGAGGGATTATTTCAGAGGACGGATGTTGCCAATATGAAGCAGAAGTGGCTCAAATATGGTACTTGCGCACACCACGGTGACAGCACGGAAAAGCAGCCCCCTCAGATTCCCATCACGCCCGGCAAGACTGGTTTTCCGTCAGCATGCTCGTCTTGCCGTTCGAAGAAATCGAGATGCGACAGCGTGCGCCCGGTCTGTGGCACATGCGCACGAACTAAGACTGCATGTCATTACGACCACGACCCTCATCCTCGAGTGCCGCAGCCCGTGCAGAACAATGCGCCACGGAATAACAACAACAATCACCAACAGACGAGCGCTGGCGCAGATTCGATGCAGATCGACAGTGAGCAGCCTACCATGATTGACCTGGGCAATACGCCATTGAATCAGTCGCAGAATGCAGCTTCAGCGTCGCAGGCGCAGCAGGTCTTTGCGGCATTAGCAGCCTTCCAGCAGGAACACGTCAAGCCTCAGCGGCTGACACTCGAGCACAGCTCTGTGCAAAGCCTTGCCTCATCTACGTGCGGCAGCGGTGAAAGCTACAAGGCTTCAATACCACGACAATTTGTCATCGGTAATGATTGGCGCATGTATCGGGATGCATTTGAATCTGCTGCAATCAAGGAGAACTGCGCGGATGTGCTGCGAGGTGATCTGAAGGAGCCCACGAAAATCGCATCGCCTCCTGACGCCAGCGAAATTCCTGTTGAGGAGCACAATGAGTATGTCAAGCAGCTGGCCATCTTCAGACGCCGCAATGACATGCTCAAGCTTGGCTTCCGCGAAACGCTCAGTCCTGGTCTCTGGAATCGGGTCCGCCTATTGCACACCGCCCACGAGATATGGACAGCGCTGGAGGACATGTGCATGCCGAGAGGTAGTGATCAAGCCTACGTCCGCTTCAACGAAATCAGCGGCATAACGCTGGCCAGCTGCAATAACAACCTGGATAATTATATTTTCACGCTGCAACTCAAAGTCGACGAGTACAATGCGCTGGCGCATTCGCATGAGAGTAGGAGGCCTGCGGCTGCTCTGAATCAGTCGAATGCGGAGGCGTACAAGCGCAAGATGGGGGGAAATGGGACGTTTCCGGAAGATGTACTGTGCTTTTTGTTCCTGAGAGGATTGGGCCCTCAGCATCAGAATCTTGCTGGGAATTTGACGAAGAAGCACAACATTGGCGGATTTGGATCTGGTGACAGAATTGGCTTCAAGGAGCTCACTACGGCAGTGAAGCGCATGATGGAGCGAGTCCCGTCGCGGGGATGATGATAGGCAGCTGCATGGATGAAGTAGCATTTGCCCACAACTGCCTCTGTCGCTAGCCATGACTCCTGATCTCCTCTCCATACCGGATTCATCCATGAATGTTCTGCTAGGACCATAAGTCGCAAGATAAGGGGGAAGAAGGATAAAGAAAAGACAAATACAAAACAAAGACAAGATAAAGAAAAGATAGCTAGGAGATAGGCAAAAGATAAATAAAAGTTAACTAAAAGTTAACTAAAAGTTAACTAAAAGTTAAAGAAAGGATAAGTAGAAGATAAGTAGAAGATAAGTAGAAGATAAGTAGAAGATAAGTAGAAGATAAGTAGAAGATAAGTAGAAGATAAGTAGAAGATAAGTAGAAGATAAGTAGAAGATAAGTAGAAGATAAGTAGAAGATAAGTAGAAGATAAGTAGAAGATAAGTAGAAGATAAGTAGAAGATAAGTAGAAGATAAGTAGAAGATATATCGAAGATAAATAAAAAGTAAATAAAAGATAAATAGAAAATAAATAGAAAATTAATAAAAGATAAATAAAAGATAAGTAAAAGATAAATAGAAGATAAATAAAAGATAAACAAAAGATAAATAAAAGATAAACAAAAAATAAGTAAAAGATAAATAAAAGATAAGCAAAAGATAAATAAAAGATAAGCAAAAGATAAATAAAAGATAAATAAAAGATAAATAAAAGATAAATAAAAGATAAATAAAAGATAAATAAAAGATAAATAAAAGATAAATAAAAGATAAATAAAAGATAAATAAAAGATAAATAAAAGATAAATAAAAGGTAAATAAAAGATAAATAAAAGATAAATAAAAGACAGGTAGAAGATAGGAGAAAAGATCGAGAAAATTACTATTACGCTATCGAGGAAGTATTTTTTAGAGATCGTATAAAGATCGAGAGGTCTTAGCATTCTTTATAAGAAGGGTTATATTAGCAGGTAGATAGGGTGGTAGTAGGTACAAGTAGTATTCGATAAGGAGCTAGGAGGAGAGGGAGGAAGGCAGGCAAGTTAGCCTATTGCTAAGCGCCAAGCCCTACCTAAGGCATTAAGACCCTAGCTTTACTCGAGCCCGGTTATATGCTAATTACGTATAACCTCTTTGGTCCTAATATACGCTTCCCTTCTAAAGGCCGCGCCCTCGTAGCCGGTCTTTGTTCTAGTCTCAACCTCTATTACTACTAACTTAGTAGGTCTAATAAGCCGCTTAGTCCGCGCTAAATTAAACGCACAACCACCGATTATATAACTATATCAAACCTCACCTCTAAACAATACAATGTACAACTCTAACTACGCTATCTTGTTACGGATCTAATTAGTTAGAGTCCTTATATAATCTTAGAGCGACGCTAAGACTAGTAGGCTAAGCTATCGCTCTATCTTACTAGGAGCGATAGGAGCGGTCGAGAGCGATAGCGTCGCTCACGTCGCTTACGACTACAGACAAGATATCTCCTTTGTATTTAGGAACGCCGGAATGCCCTTATAGCTCGAGGCGTTTAACTTATATTACCTACTTACTAATTGGAATTACCTTTGTACTAATTATTCTGTCTCTGCCTCCCGCTTATATTAGCCTCTCTAAAGAAGCCTCGGCTTGCACGTAATAAGAAGTCACTTAACGATCTGTCGCGAGTAACCGTAACACTTTAAACGCCCTTAGGATAAGTGCCTTATTACAAGTCGGAAGGGGAACTCCCGCCCCTAGCGAGATAGGCAGTACTCGACGTACTACCTCTAGTGCTAGCAATGCACTAGGAACCTATACCGGAAACGATTCTCTTAAGATCGGAAAGCTAGACTTTTATTACAGCGACCGAGACAAGTTCGATACCTAGGTTAGCTAGATAGATATGTATTTCATATTTAACTAGGTTTAAGATAACTTAAAGCTAGTCTTCGCAACGACGTTTATGCGAGGTAGGGCTTAGCATTAGATTAAACTATTTCTTAGGACCTATCTAGATAGCAACGGGACCGATAATTCGGATAGAATCTTCGCAAGCTACGAAAATCTCAAGCGTACGATAAAGAAGGTCTTTAGATCTTCTAACGAAGTTGCTACCGTAGTTAGGGTTATCTAACATTTAACTTAGAAGGGGTTATATGCCGATTACGCCGCTAAATTTTAGGAATACGCCTAACTTACGGATTAGGACGACGAAGCTCTTATAATAATGTATCGGCGAGGTCTTAAGGATAACGTTAAAGACGAGCTTATACGCGACGGTAGAAAAATAGATAATATAGGAACATTAGTTAAGGTTACGATCGATCTCGACGATAGGCTCTACGAACGAGCTTTAGAACGACGTTACGATTCTAAGACTTCTAGAAAAGCTAGTTATACTCCTAGATACGATAATAGACGAAACTATAGTACCTACGATAAACTAAAGGGGAACAACTACTACGGTACGTAACTAATAGAGCTAGACGCTACCTAGAAGGGTCGAGCAATTAAAGGAAGAAAAGGCAAGAGTTCGCCTAAGAAAGTAGGAAGATTGACTTGCTATACGTATAGCAAGGAAGGCTATATAGCACAGAACTACCGCGGCAAGAATATAGTGCGACGCGAACAGTTTAATATAATACAACGAAAGGACTCGGGTAGAGAAGGCTACCGAATAGTAGTAGAGCTATACTCTATTAATAACGCGCCGAGGACCTATATAGAGGTCGTAAAGAAAGAGCTACGACAAATCTATATAATAGTACGACGATAAGAACCTATATATAGAACCCTTTACTAGAGATTCTGTTATAACGACTAATACTAAATTCATTATTCTACTAAAGTAGAAGTAGGATTCTTCCCTTAGATTAGGCGACTCGTACGAGAAGATGCGAAATCCTAGTTAGAAGAAGAAACGATTAATAAATCTTGCTTAGATACCGACGATAAAGAAAACCGAGATCCGGAAGCTTTATTCCCTCCCGGGGAGGAGTTAGGAGCTATCCTAGAAGTACCGGAGTCCTCTTAGCAAGAGGAGGAACAGTAAGAAGATTTAGAAGGAAGTCTAGATACCGAGGAAGAAACTATAAATAAAGAAAGTAAAGACGAATTCGGGATTAACGACGATACGATCCTTACGTTTACAATAGATATACCTATAGCAGCGCGAACAATCGCCTTATATCTAGTACGCAAATACGAGGAAATGTTTCTAAAGGTTAACGGATAACGGAAGGTCGATCCTATCTAATTTAATTATTTCTAGATAAGCTTACGGGCAAAATTCTAGAATTACCCCCGGATACCTATAGACTATACGTACTATAACTTCATTACGGAGCGAGTACCGATAGGAAGTATAATTACGCCCTACGGATACGTCCTACCCGACGAAAGGACGATTATTACTTAAGATATACGTTAGACGGTCTAGCGATTAAATTAGCAATACCGAAAGGCTATAGTAGCGTAGGGACGGGATGTATACAACGATACCCTCGAGGAAAAATTATATACCGAAGAAGCACGAACGACAGGACTACGGATCCGTAACTAGTTAGAACAACGTTAGGCTACTAATTAGTCGGGAAACGGACTAACTCTCTAGATTAGAGCGTTCTAAGAGAGTTCCTTAATACCGAAAGCGCTTAAGCATTAATAGTAGTCTTCCGTACAAAAGTTATCGTTAACGGGTACCCGACGAGTATATTAATAGATTCCGGAGCGAGCGGGAACTTTGCCTCCGAATTATTCGTTAAAAGCCGAGGGATCGCAACCTAAAGCAGAAGAGAAGGAGCGTATAAACTTATAGCAGTAGATAGGTTACCGCTACCTAGTATAGAACGAGAAACGATACCGTTACTACTAGCTATCTAATAGCACTTCGAGGAGATTGTCTTAGATATTACTAATATAGCTAGTTATAACATTATATTAGGCATACCTTAGTTAAGAAAGTATAACCTAGTCGTAGACTAGAGAAAAGGAGTACTTACATTTAAGGAATGCGACTATATAATCGGCATTTAACCTATATAGCGGCAGCGTTCGTAGGCAGATGAGATTAATAAACGTAGGGCGACTCGTAAGACGTTTGCGTCGATAGGAATTACGGAGAACCGTATTCAACCCGGATCGACACTACCGTTAGGTTAGGAGGGTTATAATAATAATTACGGGAAGGATAGAAGTTATACGCTATCGAAGAATAAAACTAGAATCTCGGACCTAGACATTCCTAAAGAGTATAGTAAGTAGAAGCGACTCTTTAAAGAGGAGAGAGGTAAGGTAGCCTTACCTAAACATCAACTATAGGATTATAAGATACACTTACAGCCTAGGAAAGAGCCTCTATAGGGACCCTTATACGCAATGTCTAAGAAAGAGCTTAAAACCCTAGACAAGTAGCTAAAAGAGAAATTAGAAAAAGGCTAGATACGGAAGTCGATATCCTCGGCAGCCTTACTAGTAATGTTCGTTCCGAAAGCCGGATTAGACGAAGGACGGCTAGTAGTCGATTTTAGACGACTTAACGACATTACAATTAAGAATCGGTACCTACTACCGAACATCGAAGAAATGCAAGACCGATTAACTAGATTAGACTAGTATACGAAGATTAACCTACGCGATGCGTTTTACGCAATACGTATAGTAGCTAGATACGAATAGATAATAGTATTCCGAACAAGATATAGGCTTTACGAATTCTTAGTTATGCCTATAGGACTTATAAATGCCCTAGCGTTATATTAAGACCTTGTAAACGAAGTCCTCCGAGACCTTCTAGACGTATACGTTATCGCATATATAGACGATATCTTAGTCTATACTAAGGGAGCTCTCGCGGACTATATACGAATAGTGTAGGACGTCTTTAAACGATTTACCTAAGTAGGATTTAAGACTGCACCTAAGAAATGCGAATTCTATAAGAAGGAAGTCAAATTCCTAGGATTTATTATTAGCACTATAGGAATTAGGATCGATCTAGAAAAAACTAAGTCAATATAGGAATAGCTAACGCCTATATGCGTTAAAGACGTGCAATCATTCCTAGGATTAGCTAACTATAATAGAAAATTCATCGAGGGCTACTCTAAGACAGCGGCACCCCTTACGGAGCTTATAAAGAAAGACAAGAAATAGAA